GGCACGAATATCCGCCGGAGAGGCGGTCGTCAGGACCCTGTGGTTCCTCTCTTGAAGTCTCGTGGCCAGCACAGCCGCGCCAGGATCAGCCAGCGACACCAACGACACAGCGTCCGGCAAACTGTCATCCGGCAAAACCCGGCTTAATTGCTCGACCAACGCTTTCCTCGGCTGAAACAATACGTGATCCGCTTTAAATACGCGTGTCCAGCTTAACGTACAAGCGAAACGTTTCAAGATTACGATCGCGACTGCTCTCATGTTCGAGCGCAATTAAATTCTATCATGGACAATAAATTGAATATATCGAGAATTTATACGCGTCGCTGATTACGAAGATACGTACGTAAATAAGGGAACCGTGGAGAATCGAGATTCTCATCTGTTTTATGTCGTATCGATTTGTATTTCTATGTTGTGGGAGAATCTCTTTCGTCAAACAGCTGCGAGACGAGCGACGATACGGTGACGTCGCTTTCGTATTTAATACACCGTACACTATGTGCGATATCAAGATAAATGTATATACTAGCAGTATATATATACACTACTGTACATAGTGTATAGTGCACATGGTCTGTGTAGTGCACAGTGTACATACTATACAGTGTATATGCCGTATAGTGTATACACTGTGTAGTGTATATAGTGTATAGTGTACATAGTATACAGCGCATAGTGTGCATAGTGTATGTAGTGCATAATGTGTAGTGTAATGTGTAGTGTACATGGTGCACACGGTGCATAATGTGCATACTGTATAGTGTACACAGTACATAGTACATGTAGTGCATAGTGTACTTAGTGTGTATTGTAATTCTAGCAGCGATACACTGTATACTATATACGATACGATATGCTGTGTACGATCGAATTTTCCATCTACCTCCGAGCTATTCAAGTCGGCAGGAGGCTTCAGGTCCACACTGAGGCTATGCTTTTTGGACTTATTGGTGGCCGGCACGCCTCTGTCGCGAGTAAAAAGCCTGCTCCGTTTGTCCGTGTTCTCGGCCTTGTTATGCTGTTCCGATTTGGGCGGCGAGCCCGTCACGTAATTCGGCGGATCGTTCGCCTCGTGATCCGTCCAATTTTCCGGGTGCGAGTCGCTGTCCGCTCTTCGGGAACTATCGTCACTTTGCCTATCCACGCCACGTTCTGCAACGAAATTTCATTACTCTTCGTCGCGGTGTATTTGCCTAATCGTATCGCAGGAAATTGGCCGCGCGTTACCGACCGTAAATTCGAGACATAATTTGTAAATTCCCATTTCGTTTATTTCTTCATCTTGTCCGAGAAAAGGCAGAAGATGTGGGTTACGCGTAGAGAATATCTGAGGGATATTTCGAAGGTTCGTCTTAACATTCGTTCGAAATTACTAATTTGACAGTAGAAGAGAATTTGCGAATAAAGAGGTGAATTTTTTTTTTTTTTAGGAAAACAGCACCACATTTTCCTCTATTCTGCGATTTATTAGGTAATTAAATTAGATTTAGGCGAATCAAGTTGCTCTTTTCACTCGTCGATTATGGTCCCAACTTTACGATCAATAACGTACGTGGCAATTGATTAATGTGTGATCGATTAACCCGCGGAGAAGTACACACACACACACACACACACACAGACGGCTCTATTAACGCGTTCAAACAAATCGTACACTACGCGTTTAATTAATCGACGCGATGGTTCGGTTCGACATATTGTACGCGTGTTGTCAGTTTGCCAGAAGTGCGACACCGCTAAATGAAGATCAAGAGACGTTTAGGTAGCTTTTCCTGGAAATGCTGAATTTCCAGAGAACCTGATGCAAACTCGAAATTATCAATTGCTCGACCATTCAGCGATAAAGCAATTTCTTCTCGTTACCACTGTACAATTTGCAGCGACAAAGTGGCAACTGCAATATGTTCAAACTGTAAAAGCAGGGGACGTCTGCAAAGTTGATAATTTGAAGTTCTCTTTTTCACGCGTGTATTCGTGAAACGCAGTTAACTGATTAATTACTACGCACGAAGTTCATATTCATCGCCTAATTGAATTTCATCCTCCGACAGATTAGCCTGGGGATCTCTGAACGTAAATATTCATTTCCTATCGGTGGTTTGACAAACGTCCATTTAGCCGGACTACGCTTTTCAATTGAAATAATTATGATACCCTCAAAAGGTAAAAAACGATTAAAGCAATCGATAACTGTGTTACTATAATCGTGTTATTATAATTATACATAATAACTATTTTAATATTTTAACAACATCTACTAAATATTCCTGCAAAATAGCAGGCGAGATTCCCTCAGGAGTGACAGTTCCAAATATCCAAAAATCGATGATCCTGCAGATGCGTCGCTCTTCTGTTAAACTGACGATATATTGGGTTGGCAACTAAGTGACTGCGGATTGTGTCAATACCACCTAATTGCAAGTACAGACGAGTGGGACGTCTCGCGATAACCAGCAGATTAGCCTAGGTGCAGGCGTTTGCGAGATCTCAAGGTGACCTTTGTCCCTTTAAATAGAACTATATATTTTTTTCACAGTTGTTCGATGCAGCTTCTAATTCTCTACAAAAAAGTATCTAGGTACTTGTATCCGAAAATGGACAGTTTGAAAGATATTGCAATGTTAACTTCGTTGGGTGCAGCGCATGGGAGACATGGAGAAGGCGAACGTAAGAGCACCATATTATCTTCCCTTGTCTCTCATACAACGAGTCTTGCAAGACTAAAATGGTATAATACTTTTTTGTAGAGAATTAGAAACTGTATCGAACGGTGTATAAGAAAATGCCTGGTTCCCTTTAGAAAAGCGAAGATCAGCGATATTGACAAAATCCGCAACCGCTTAGTTGCCAAGCCAATATGTACGTACATAGATAGTATGTATAATATATATATATAAGAGAACTTACTAAAACGTATCAATGGAAAAGGATACACCACACGAATCTGCGCGCAAAATGCAACGGGCAACAGGCGTTCGTGATTCGAGACATGTGTTTTTCTTTTCTTTTCTTTCGCTTCTATTCGTTAAGAAGATCAGTGAAGCTTCAAGAACACTCGCAATCGAACGTGTGGCGTGTTAATCGGTACAGCGACCATAGATAGATAGATAGAAAGAGAGAGACAGAGAGAAAGAGTAAGAAACAAGTAGAGTTAGTAAAAGAAGAGAAACAGAGATAGATGTAACAATATAGTTCATAGTATAAAAAGAGATACGTACGTACAAGTAGATAGAGAGAGGCAGAAAGAGAGAGGCCAGCGGGCAGGGTTTTTGGTGTTGCAATTTGCTTTTCACTTTTGTTCAAATTCGCTACGTACAGACAGGCGTATAAAAGGCACACAGACACACGGTTAACACAATCTCTTCTGCAGCAACGATCTGGACGTTCGATTCGAGGGGAGAGAGATCTGCCCGCTCTCTTTCCTTTTTTTTTTTTTATCGTTGAGAGAAATCGAACTGAATTTTCGTTGTGTCGCGGAAGCAAACAAAAATGACTACAAAAGAGATCAGATGGTAGATAAACGTTTATTTCCATCTCATTTCCTTACAGATATATCAGTATCGGTCTTACAGGTGTGTTCTAACGTCTACCACGAACGAGGGCTTTCTTGTCAGCGTGCTGATCGCGTACGACGCTAGGATAATGGGAATACGAGGGCCCTTAACCAGTTAGCTATGTCCGACGAGTATACTCGTCATGAAGAAATGGCGATAATTCGTATTATGACGGGGCGTGTCGGTGACTAAAATTGCAAAATCAAATTGTCGCTTCGTTACAACTTCACTTTATGCTGCAGAATATTGCAGTGTGACGAGTATACTCGTCTTACAGCTGACTGGTTAAGAACAGTAGAATAATTTCGATATATTGTATGCAGCGTGAAATCACTTTGATTAGTTATATGAAGATGAAAGAAGAGCATTCGGCTCAAAAACGAGCGTAATTTTGCGCTGTTAATTTATTAATAAACAACCAAATGGGATAACTCGTTCCGATTGGCGTACGTTCGCGCCGATCAACATGCAAGCAGAGCAATTGTCTTTTTTGAGGATGCAACTGAATACTTTTTCCTCGCACTTATTTTTCACATCGAATTATTTTGTTACTCGATTTGACGACTGTTGCTCGTCTTTCCACCGAATGCTTCATTCGTTTGTATTTTCTAAAGGACAGAAGAGAAATGAGCTAGGACACGAAAGGTTTCTCTTTTTGACTTGGGTCATTTGTCGTGTTAAGGTAACTGAAACGTCCAGTGTCGCAGTGAAAAGTGATGAAATTATCGAGGCTGGCTGTGATTTTAGCTGGTACTGTATAGGTACTACGAGGAAGAAATTGCACATTGAACGATCATTGCTGGTGTACGGTGGAACTAATAGACATCTAATTACCGAGTCGGTTAGCTTCTGTCGGTTAGCAAGAGGTCATTCACGCGCTCGAGTTCCTTCTGCAATCTACAAAATTGCGTACACCGCCATATGTAGCTACATGTTTCAGTCTGCCAATTAACAATAAGCCAAAAAGTGACTAAATACACGTTGGCCAGATTCTAGAGCGATTGTCTAATTTTAATTATTTGTCTACTTCTTCCTCTCTACGCTCAAAACTTGATACTGGACGAGTAACTTTGAACCGACCCACGCAAATATTAATTTCATTAAATACCAATTAAATTATTTATAAATGATGAACAAATTATTGGAAAAAGTCTGCCAGATAAAATTTGTTCTGTTTCGAGTGGGACGTCTCACGATAACCAGCAGATTTGCCTAGGTGCAGGCGTTTGCGAGATCTCAAGGTGACCTTTGTTCCTTTAAATGGAACTATATATTTTTTTCACAGTTGTTCGACGCAGCTTCTAATTCTCTACAAAAAAGTATCTAGCTACCTGTATCCGAAAATGGACAGTTTGAAAGATATTGCAATGTTAACTTCGTTGGGTGCAGCGATTGGGAGACATGGAGAGGGCGAACGTAAGAGCACCATATTATCTTCCTTTATCTTTCATACAACGAGTCTTGCGAGACTAAAATGGTATAATACTTTTTTGTAGAGAATTAAAAACTGTATCGAACAGTGTATAAGAAAGTGCATGGTTCCCTTTAGAAGAGCGAAGATCAGCTTGAAATCTCGAAGGCACGTCCGCCTACATAAGATTTGCGACCATCGCGAGATGTCGCCCTCGAAACGAAGCAAATTCTGTTCGAAACGCTTCTTCAGCCTCTAGATTCGGAATATTTCATTGTTTTAAATATTTCTTGCTATGATTCATTGAAAAACATTGCATGGCAAACGATATTTGGAATAGTTCCTCAGATTATTTCATATAACAGAAATACATCACTTTCGTGTATTATAGCATTCTATTTAAAAAAGGAATTTTTTTTTTTAGAGATAATTACGAATGTTTTAATTTGGAAAATGAAAGTGAATTTCAAATAGGTTCATTTCGAGTAATTAGGGAAATAATTGACCAATTGATTTTATTGTTCCTAAGGAGAGAGGAAAGAAGTACGTCGTTATATGAGTTGCGTTTTAAACTACAAAAGTGTACGTGCTGTCAGATATGTATATACAGGGTGGTTGGTAACTTGTGGTACAAGCGGAAAGGGGGTGATTCTACGCGAAAAAAGAAGTCGAAAATATAGAACAAAAATTTTTTTTCAAGATTTTTCCATCGAGACAATGATCTACAGTGAGATCCGTTATAACGTACCGCACGCGTACCGACCGAAAATTCAAAGTCGATTTTCTCGGAAACGAAGCCTCAAACGAAAAATTTGTATTCTATATTTTCGACTTCTTTTTTCGCGTAGAATCACCCCCTTTCCGCTTGTACCAACCACCCTGTATATGTGTATAATATTAATACAAGGATACAAAGAATATTAATATGCGATTACGCTGCGATCAATCGACATAAATCTTCCATTTGACATGAAAAATTGCCCTGTTTCTGTAAGAACAAAATTACCCTCGCGAAACACGTTACACGTTAAAACGTCAATTTTACCGATTACATAATTACCGAAAATCACCAACTATCGTGCTCCTCGTCGTGTAAAGTATATCATAACATGAATTTCCGCTACCAAGCACATTTTCATAGCCACGACAGCACGAAAATACGAAAAGAAAAAAATAACGACAAAAGGTCTACAATCGAATCAACTCGTTCGATCTACACTTTGGCCGATGAGCAGCAAAATCGTCGCGAGAAGGTCAATGAAAAAATGAAAGAAAGACGTGTCATGCTGTTCAAATTCACGCAGGCATGCTCGTTCGGCGGCGAAGCAAAGATTCTTCAAAACAAAAGAAAAAAATAAAAGAAAGAAAGAAAGAAAGAAAAACGATCCGGGGATAATTTGTCCTTGGAAATCGCGACGATCCGGTGTGCCTTTACATACCTGGAGTGGTGTGTCCGATACGCTGTTTCTCTTTAGCTGGCTGACCTGCGCTCTGCTGACCTATGGCTGTCGCAGCAGTGTTTCCGGTCTCCTCGTTGGTTACTACTACCGAATCGTAACATGCAACAATGCAAAGCCAACGCACCAGACTTTCACTTAGTTAAACAGATCTGAATCCGTATTGGCAACGAAACAACATTTACGCTTCTATTTTTACTCAAAAATGATCGGTACTCATATCTGTCGGTTCGTTACTCGTGTTGCATCTCGACGACTTTGCTAGTCGTATTTCGAATCTGTGCTATTCAAACGAACGAAGAAACGATCACGGACGATGGTAAATAATTTGCAAAGTTTCTGGGACCTTGGACGCAGTCGTATCGGTCCAAGTAGAAATGAAACGATTACGGATATTTCAATTAGATTATATTATTCAGGATGTTCGAATTAGCGTTGAAAGATTTTAATTAATATCGATTACTAGAAAGGAGGATTAATATCAGGAGGATATTACATAAAACTTGAATGTAATTTAACAGTAATATTTAGTATATGATAATAATTTAATTATTGATTACTTTACTTTTTATTATCATTAAATATTTTATTGGATACTTCACAATGTATTGTATAGGAAGAACTACTTTGCTATATTTCTCATTATTTGCCTAGGAATATCACAATATTATATCAAGTTTGCTAACTTTTATAATTATCAGGCCTGTAAGTATGAAACCGGAATTTGCCAATAGATGGACCTAGCTGATAATGCAGTTATCACTGAACTGCGTCATTGATGCCAAAAGTCTTTGTTGGCATCTCACAAACATTTTCGACTCAGAACAATACGAGTTTCATACGACAGCATAGTTTGTAACAGCGTTGAACATGTCAAATTTTGTGCCTGGAAACGACAATTCGCGGACAGCATCGACTTTCTGTTACCATTTGAAGAAAACTGATGCAGAATCGCATCGAATGCTTGTCGAAGCTTCCGGTGAGCACGCTCTTGGTAAATCACCGTGCTTCGAGTGGTTTAAAAAATTCAGAAGTGGCAATTTTGACGCGAGGAACGAAGAACGTGGAAGACCACCGAAAAAGCTTCAAGACAGCGAATTGCAAGCATCGTCGGATGAGGATGACGCTCAAACGCAACAACAACTCGCTGATCAATTAAACGTGACACGAGAAGCCGTGTCCATACGTTTGAAAGCCATGGGAAAGATCCAGAAGGTGGGAAAATGGGTCCCGCATGAACCGAACGAAAGACAGCAGGGAAACCGGAAAACCACTTGCGAAATGCTGCTCGCCAGGTACAGAAGAAAGTCATTTCTCCATCGAATTGTGACTGGCGATGAAAAGTGGATATATTTTGAGGATCCTAAGCGTAAAAGATCATGGGTAGCCCCAGGCGAACCACCGACATCGACTACAAGACCAAATCGCTATGGACGGAAGACAATGCTCTGTGTTTGGTGGGATCAGAAGCGTGTGATCTATTATGAGCTGTTAAAACCTGGCGAGACCGTTAATACTGACAAACGATCGATTTGAATCAAGCTTTGCGTGAAAAACGACCAGAATATCAAAAAGGCAACACAAAGTAATTTTGCTTCATGAAGATGGACCATCACATACAGCAAAACCGGTGAAGGAAACGATCGAAGCGTTCAGTTGGGAAATACTTTCGCACGCGGCTTACTCACCAGACTTGGCTCCGTCCGATTACTATTTATTTGCATCGATGGGACACGCGCTTTCTGACCAGCACTTCGCTTCTTACGAGAATGTACGAAAATGGCTCGATGGCTGGTTTGCCTCAAAAGAGCGACAGTTCTTTTGGCGTGGCATCCACCAAATCCCACCAAGACAGGTGGGAAAAATGTATAGCTAGCGATGGGCAATACTTCGAATAGAATATCTTTAATCATTTTCATACAATAAACGTTTTCTATACAAACATTCCGGTTTCATATTTACATGCCTGGTACGCGGGTTCTTTGATAAACCTCCGCTGAGGTTTCAGACAATCGATAAAAAGAAACGACTAGGGTACTCGTGACACGTTAGCGTTCAGCGTAATATATTTTTGTAGAGTATCAGAATTTCACGTCGAATGCTTCTAAATGAATATTGTAGGTGTTTGCTGCGATCGCTAGGCTTGTTAGAATTGCGAACTCTTGTCCTACGCCTACGGCACAACTACGAAAAGACTGCAAGACAGGGAATTAGATATCAACAGCGATTACATTGCTCAAACAAGATAATTAGAAATAATTAGATAAATAAATAAACGACGACAATTGTTCCGCTAGGTCGTTTTCTCTACATGTAGAAGGTGTTCTTGTCTTTTTACTTTCTAGCAGAAGCATGAATGGAAACATAGGTAACACTCGTCAAGCGTCACCATATAACCACAGTGTTCCTTACCGTGTGCGCAACTATTTCGACAGAGGCAACAATTAGACCGATCTGTACAGGTCTCGCGTTATGTACACCTGTTGTATATTTTCTCTTTTCGCTCCACTGTTCTTTACGCCGCACTGATCGTCGTATCGAGCAACTCGTATTTGCCAATCGAGATTCACATGATCACAAAATCTACGATACTCAACAATGTTTGGACGAACGAAAACGAGCGATTCACTTACCGGAGTGAGGAGGCGCGAGAAGAGATCGACTAGAGCTGAAGAAAGGGCGCAGGGACGGCTTGGGCGTGCTACTGACGGACATCGTGTCCAATTCGGGGCCACTGTCTGAAAAATTTTCCAGTTCGTCGAACAGTTCCTCGATTTCCATTTCTGCCCCTTTAACAAATCCAGTTAACGAGTCTATAAAATAATCAATAAGACGATCGGTGAAACATTGGCACAATTCTTCACGTGGCTACTGTGTTTTGGGGTAGGAACAGTTGATGTATGTGTACTTACCTGACAGCTTTTGCCCGATCTCCTCTTGATCTTGATCGAGGTCCTCGGATACCCTGAACCGTCTTTTCAGCAGCGCTATGAATTTCTGCTTTAGATTTCTTTGCTGCAAGAATAAAGATGATTCTATTGATGATTCTATCGATGATGACAATCTGGCTATTTGCATTGACGTTTATCGCAGCAATTTTTTTAATGTTGTTTAATTAAGATTTGTTTGGTTCCTATGCTCTTGTATAGTTGGGAGGAAGAAATTGTTATTGTTTCAATATTAATAGTAATAGTATTAATAGTAACAATAATAGTATGATTGTAATTGAACTGTGGATTTTTATGGGTTTATAGAAAATTTGTGTAAAATTGCACAGAGTACATATAAGATGAAAATATATATGAAATATACAGAGTGTAGTGATTTCTATAATATTTGGTAGATAGAGAACAATTTTCTGTTCAATTGTCTTATTTATTATAGTTTGATAATATGAACTTGCACACTATATCTTAGCTAATAATTATTGCACCTTTGTTACTATAATCGAAATTGTAAAACAATCGCTGGATACTCGGTCCACTCATAGCAAAGCAAAACTAATTAGATTTTTGAAAATTATTCATTGAAAAATGAAATACTGTGATGTAGTAGGTCTATTACAATTTATTGCGGCTCTCGAGAGAAAATATTTATTGGGTTGATCAGAAAGTACGTCTTTGTTCTCGTAGCAAGATGAATCTGTGTTTAAACAATGTATATTAACTTTAATTTGATCCAATTGTGAGCTGGGATTGTTGATTAATCAACAGTCAACTGCAGAAAATGAAAGAATCATCTTTGGAAGTACTTGTTTTCTGTTGCCCTGGCACAAATGGTTCACCAAAACAACGCAAGACCACATTGGTCGGACAAAAACTGGTGCAACATCGAAAGGAATTGGTGCACACATTCATCGAAAACAACACACGTAAAGGAGAGAACACATCCTCGAGTTCGGCCGTAAAAGCGAAACTTTCCGTTCAATCCAATAAAATTCGCGTGGCAGACAACATACATATTAATGATACATTCATCATACACAAACAACATTATACACAAATTACGTATGTAATTCAATTCACGTACCCTGGCGTTGGGCGGAATCTTCGCCCGGGTCTTTCGTCTGTGTCCCATCTCAAGAGTTGGCTCGCTGTCGCTGCCTTCCGCTTCACCCTCTGAGCTGAACTCTTCCTCCTCGTCGCTATACTCGGGGCAGAGCCTCTCGTTCGGGTCGTTCATCAGTCTTTTGTCCTGGTCGACCGGCTGGGAGCTGAGCGCGACAACGCTCACGCGGGCTAACACAACCGAGTGGCCACCGTACTTCTCCGCTTTGTCAGACACTAGCTCCAGCTCCAGGTCCATCTGCTTCTGGAGAACCTGTGCACGTACGCAAGTGTAACAGTTCGATGAGAAACGAATTGCTTTTTTCTGGCCTAGTCTCACATGGCAGCCGGTTGTTTTTGTTTCAGGTGGACGAACCTGAATTTACAAAATTACACGGCGAAGAGAGGTTCGGCTAGGATGCCAAAGACGTCGACACTGAGTGGTTAGTTGGAGTATGGACTTTCCTTTTAATTTTGAAGCTGACGAGTAGAACTAGAATACGTGGAGAAACGATCGTGTGCGAAAACAGTTACGTTATTACAGGGTTTAAGCATGAGAGGCTGTTACCTCGAGGAGGATGTTGACGGTGCAGATACTGTAAATGGACGATAAATTCGTTGGAAACCTTGTAACTCTATAGGGAACAATATGTGTTTAAACAATTTTTATTTTAACGAGGAATGAAATCATTAGGTACGCACTTACGAAAATATCGAGAATGTGTTTAATTTTGATAAATTTTAATACGATATCTATTCACTGTATATGTATATGATAATTATAATTTAGGTTTTCGAAGATTACTCGATTACTTATTGACTTGCATTTATTGGTTTATCGACTAAATGAACTTTTTTGTGGATTATGAAATAGAAAAATCATTTGTCAGATTGTGTACAGTAGAACACTTTTTACAAATTCGTTGTTTTGAAAACCCTAGAGAGTTAGATCGAATGCTATAAATAATTTTCTAATGTTGTTCTGTTGCGTTGTTTTGTTGTTTTGTTGTTTTGTTGTTTTGTTGTTTTGTTGTTTTGTTGTTTTGTTGTTTTGTTGTTTTGTTGTTTTGTTGTTTTGTTGTTTTGTTGTTTTGTTGTTTTGTTGTTTTGTTGTTTTGTTGTTTTGTTGTTTTGTTGTTTTGTTGTTTTGTTGTTTTGTTGTTTTGTTGTTTTGTTGTTTTGTTGTTTTGTTGTTTTGTTGTTTTGTTGTTTTGTTGTTTTGTTGTTTTGTTGTTTTGTTGTTTTGTTGTTTTGTTGTTTTGTTGTTTTGTTGTTTTGTTGTTTTGTTGTTTTGTTGTTTTGTTGTTTTGTTGTTTTGTTGTTTTGTTGTTTTGTTGTTTTGTTGTTTTGTTGTTTTGTTGTTTTGTTGTTTTGTTGTTTTGTTGTTTTGTTGTTTTGTTGTTTTGTTGTTTTGTTGTTTTGTTGTTTTGTTGTTTTGTTGTTTTGTTGTTTTGTTGTTTTGTTGTTTTGTTGTTTTGTTGTTTTGTTGTTTTGTTGTTTTGTTGTTTTGTTGTTTTGTTGTTTTGTTGTTTTGTTGTTTTGTTGTTTTGTTGTTTTGTTGTTTTGTTGTTTTGTTGTTTTGTTGTTTTGTTGTTTTGTTGTTTTGTTGTTTTGTTGTTTTGTTGTTTTGTTGTTTTGTTGTTTTGTTGTTTTGTTGTTTTGTTGTTTTGTTGTTTTGTTGTTTTGTTGTTTTGTTGTTTTGTTGTTTTGTTGTTTTGTTGTTTTGTTGTTTTGTTGTTTTGTTGTTTTGTTGTTTTGTTGTTTTGTTGTTTTGTTGTTTTGTTGTTTTGTTGTTTTGTTGTTTTGTTGTTTTGTTGTTTTGTTGTTTTGTTGTTTTGTTGTTTTGTTGTTTTGTTGTTTTGTTGTTTTGTTGTTTTGTTGTTTTGTTGTTTTGTTGTTTTGTTGTTTTGTTGTTTTGTTGTTTTGTTGTTTTGTTGTTTTGTTGTTTTGTTGTTTTGTTGTTTTGTTGTTTTGTTGTTTTGTTGTTTTGTTGTTTTGTTGTTTTGTTGTTTTGTTGTTTTGTTGTTTTGTTGTTTTGTTGTTTTGTTGTTTTGTTGTTTTGTTGTTTTGTTGTTTTGTTGTTTTGTTGTTTTGTTGTTTTGTTGTTTTGTTGTTTTGTTGTTTTGTTGTTTTGTTGTTTTGTTGTTTTGTTGTTTTGTTGTTTTGTTGTTTTGTTGTTTCGGTAACATAATAATCACGTAGAAAAATTAATTGAACGAATGAAATTGTTACGTGAGAATTTAACAGACTGCGAGAAAATTAGCAGTAAAATTAGATTTTTCATTTGTATTAAATCAAATTATTTGTTTAATATATAAAATTTAATTAAATTTATTTCATTAAATTTATTTAAGATGTTAAATGAAATTAGCACTAAAATTAGATTTTACACACTAAAATTGAACGATAATCATTAATAACAATTTAAATAATAAAACTGATGAGATTGGACGGCTAGAAAAGTGGATATCCCCTGATACTTTTTTAAATAAATTCTTGATAATATATTAGACAAGGATATTAAATTAGCTGTAATTCTCCTTTCACTCACAACCTTAATTCGCATATTCGTAGCTGCATCATGACACAAGGTGTCCCGATTTAGCCTAATGCATTTGTAATCTAATCTCTAGAGATTCGAACGCCGCTATAATAACAGCACAACAGGGATGATGTATAGCTAAATTTCAAATTAAGCTGAACTTTCGCAGTAATAAATATGTCAATTGTACTCCAGCGCTACATATATATGTATAGTGATTTTGATAAATTTTTATATCATAGCTATTTACTACATATATAATTATTATAATTTAGGTCTTCGGGAGTTACTCGATTATTTATTGACTTGCATTTATTGGTTTATCGACTAATTGAATTGTGGAATAGAACAATCATCTGCCAGATTGTGCACAGTGAAATACTTTCCACAAATTCTTCGTTTTAAATTTAATAGTATGTATCATATATATATCATTGCAACAGTAAATAAGAGTAAAACTGTGTGATAGAAGATAGTTCAATTGATGCACATAAAGAAATATAGTTTCTTCGTTCTGCAAATTAACACTAGAACTACCACACCAGTCGAATTGACTGGTTCTACAATTTTATAAATGTGGCAACCCTTGTTTAGGGATCTTGGTCCCAGATGGATTAAAAATACCAAAAATGTACCACATAACATGGAATTGCTTCTGTAAGAAAGTAATAAATCGAAAAATATAAAAATATTCCACTATTACGTATTTTTTAAACATTTTCATCGGTTTTCGATTGTGTTAATCGATTCGCAGTACACCTGCAACTACTTTTCTTCTACTAATTTCTTCCACTCGCACGATAAAGCAGCCGTAGATGTCTCTGATCTCGTAGAAAGATAAATAACAACGAAAAACAGCATTTGTTTTGTGCCAGTTTGGTCGACGTAGGAATAGAACCAACAGATAAGCTGGAACGTCGTTAGAACGTAAACAATACCAGTCTCGATTTCAAAACACACGAGAACTTGTCCGGCTCGTTGCAAAAAATCAGTGAGAGAAAAAGCGAAACGTAGGTCGTCGCAGCCGACACGAGACGATCAGACAAAGGAAATTTCAAACGACGAAAGTAATTTTCTTCTCGCTGATAAGAAAGTCGTCGTAGTGACGACGCATAAAACGAGGATTTTCGAGAAGAATATTCTTCTGTATCTTGTACTTATTGTATGCTCGTGTATCTATCGAATAGAACGTGCTTATCGAATGTAGTTGTAGGTCGAAAATTGCTTTTTACCTGAGCCATATTGATAACTCCCTCGGCTAGCGTCTTGTACCCGAGCATCGTGCGATTTTTATAGCGTTTTCTCCTCTGCAGTTGTATCAGCAGCTTGTTGCCGTCCCTCTTCAGGAAATGCGGATACTGAAGCGCGAATTGCAGCTCTAGCTCGGTGTCCAGCATGCCACCGGTTGGAATGGCCATCTCGTTGGAGCGCAGCGTCCTCTTCGAGCTCTGCATCTTCACCGCGATACTAATCGACGTTAAATCGGAGCCTAATGGCCGTAAAATCACCAGCCGCGTCAAAGTCAACGAGCATAACCTAAACAAATTGCAAGAGAAACGTTCGCTTTAGATTTTGCAAATAGTTGGTAATACAAAAATATATCTATTTTTTCTTAACTAATTAAAAAGCCAAGAATTGAAATAAAATATTGGGTTGGCAACTAAGT